TCTAGGATGGGGGCTGGGGTCTGTGAGATTCAGCATGGGTTTGCCCAGAGAGAAACATACTCCATTCTACCTCAAAGACTCGCAGGCTCATGGGAAAGCCTAGATGTAAACCTCCCTTTCCTTCCTCACGCTGCCATAGAAATATCCTCTCATTAAGTTAAACTGAACTTAAACATATGGGATGTTCCTGGGACAGCAGCAACCATGAGAGAGTCAGGCTGGGAACTGAAAAAGTACTCTATGCAACTGGGTTAGTGATAACAAGTGTTACTTACTACTATCAGTTCCATTTCACAGATGAAGAAACTGAGGCTGAGGATTTCATAAGGTTGCACTGCTAGTAAATGACGGAGCCCAGATTCATACTCACATCCTCTGATTCCAAATCCTACATGATTTCAATAGCATCCTTTGCTGCCCAAGTGCATTGGATTGGGGCCCTGATGGAGGCAGAGTCTAAACCCAAAGGAACAGTTGATGCTGGGGTCATGGGACTCCAGGGTTGAACTGGAAGCAAATATTCAGGTGGGGTCAGTCTGAGGCCCTAAACTCATGCTGTGAGGTGACTGTTTTTGGGTAGAGCAGACCCAGACCTTTCAAAACATTGACCCCCGTCCATGTCTCTCCATATCCTCCTTTGATTCACTCTTCAGTGAGCTCATGATTTTTCGAGTTGGTCTGGACTGCAAGACCAATGCCCATTTAACAGGCCAAGATCTAGAGAACCAGCCTCTTACAGCCAGCTCCAGTTTTGGTTAAAGAGCTACAATTTCTGAGCTGTTACCAGGGTGCTGTATTGGTATAAAGTCGAGCATGAGGAAATTTTGCTTTGTTTTTCAAATTGTTGATGGCATTCAAGGGATCGCTAATATCTTTTTACTGTTCCATTGCTGCAGATGTGTTTGCCCAGATAAGAAAGATTTCAGCAAAAGAGTTTCTTAATGAAATACTGCCTGATGCCAGGCTACCACTCAGAAGGCAGTGGTAGGTAGGTTCCATTAAAGGATGAACTTCACTCCCACAGATGACAGCTGATTAATGTGTTAATTAGGAACCCTGTCCCCCTCCCTGATCACCCGAATCTTCTTCTAAGCCCGGCAGAATATTTATATTGTGCCCATGTGGGTAACCTCATGGCATACTTTGGCTTTGACTTTGGACGTTTATATAAAAATAAAGGCTCATTTGCCAACGTGAATAGCTTTCTTTCTTTCCAGGGGAAATACAAGATGGAAAGAGTTATAGGAACCAGAAGTCCTGCCTTTCAGTTTTCTTATATCAAGAGCAAGTGATATTTCTGCTGAGGCAGTGTCTTTTGAGCAGTTTAGCGGTGTAGGTTGCCACATTTATTTCACAGGAAAGGAGTGAATCCATCAGGCCACTGAGCTTGTAAGTACTACCCTGGCAGTCAGCCACCAAAATATAAATACTCTAAATGGACTAAAGGAAATGTTCATTCGGTTGTTTAGAATTGGACACATCCCAGGAAGGTAAATTTAATCTTTTTGAGGACTGCTGTTATAGGGTTGAATGGAATACGCATTTGTTTATCTCCTTTGTGATCTTTTTGTCTTCCCGGTGATACATTATGTATTTGTGATACAAAGCATTTCAGCTGTCTTGCTCACTGGCCTTGCATTAGCTGATTGTTCGGTCCCCAGATTGCCATCATTAAACAGCTTCAGCCTCAGCTCCGTCCAATCTGGGACCTGTTAGGGAGAGAAGTGGAACCGAAGAGGCCGGATTCCAACAGAAACAAAGCCGGCTGGAATTAGGGGGAAATCATTCCAGAGCCCAGTGAGTTGAGTGCTGCACTTCTCAGTCTTTATCTTCTAAAATATCTGAAGGATTTTTGGTACTTCTTGGCATAATGAGGAAAACACTAATGCCGCAAAAAGTTAAAAAAAAAAATTAAAGCCGTCTGTGGAAAGAAGAAGGGAAGAATACCCCGTTACACCACAATTTAGAAAACCATAGTTTATGAGACACATGCTGGGTATTTCCTGGGTATGCAAATGTTATTTTATTAAAGAGAGATCTACAGTATATATTTTCACCTGACTACCATGTCTTAAGTAATCAGCTCAGGCTCTTATGGTGAAATCTTTAATTACCAGAAGTGTGTCATTAGATGTAGAATGAATGATGTGCTGCATTTTATTGCTTCATATGATATAGCCATTTGTGCCATAAATTCATTGACCTAATCTTAAACGATGTGTCCTGTAAGACAGACATGATTCATTATTTCTTAAGTGACAATTTTTTTCTCTAATACTTTTTTTGCTTCATCAGGAAGATTGCTTTACTGTATTTTTAGACCAGTGTTCTGAGTTGAAACGTAATAAGGCAAGGCTACACACACATTCACACTCATTACCCCAAATGAGCTAGTCATAAACTGTCACAGTATTGCCCAAACACATTGGGATGTTGCCGAAAATCAAGTAGCTAACCATTGGGCTTTTGCTTTAACCGGAAAGTCTGATGAAACAGAATTTGCTTCAAACTTTGATGTCTGTAATTCTTTTATGTGGAAATAGATAAAATATGGTGGAGAATTCTCATTGGATAATTGGGAAAGATTTATGAGCATTCCTTATACGCCAATGAATTATTGAAAGTGAAGGAAGTAAAGGGAGAACATTTAAATTATATTTAGATTATTTTTTGTGACTTTACTTGAAAATATTTATTTAGCTTGAGGAAACAGAGGAATCCTCTGGAGGCAAATAATTCAATCTGGCAATCTGAAAACCAATTAAGGATTTCAGAAAACTCTTTCCCCTTATGGTTAAAAAATATGATCCAAAAGAAATATGCCAGAAAGTTTGGTTATTATTTTAATTAGTTTAATTCATTGATAATGTTTTTTTAGTTCATGATTAAAGAAGCTATATTTGATCCTTCACATCAAGCTTAAAAGTTTACATTTTAGCCTTTCTATGGATGCGTAATATTGAAACAGAATCAGGTGGCTTTATTTCATATTGGAATTTAAATGTCTCATCATTATTACATTAGCTTTATAAAAACGAGCTGGTTTTAAAGATAATAACTTACATGTGTCAGGTTTTCACTGCTAGTTTATTTAACCTTTAGATGAGAATTTTGAGTCTGATAGATTCTGTGTGTCTTCTTATCAAAGGCAATTCCATACTTATTTGTAAACTAGACATCTCAACTATGATTAAAAAAAAACTTCTCTTAATTCTGGAGAGACCTGAAACACTGTAATGAAACAGGAGTATATTAGCATTGACTTTATTTATTTATTTATTTTTGCAACAAGTATTTTGAAAGGGTATTTTGGTATGAGGCCTAATGAAAAACTGATGTGTGCCAATAAGTGTAATTCAGTCTCACACCATCAGGTATATTACCTGCAAATATCAGGGGGAAGAAAAGTGAGAAGGAAAAGAGTGCATTTACACATACAGACCCACATCTGCCATAAGTGTGTACACTCACAATCACATGCTAGCATGCCACCAATGTTTATAGTCAAGGAAAGCTGAGAGTTAAATGAGATGAGTAATCAAATGCCCAGCATATGTTGTTTTTGCATTGTTTATGTGACCAATCATTATTAAAATGTATCATCTTTTAATGCTATCAGTTTACCATAGTTAAACAACATGCACCAGCAACAGAACAACAGACACCATCCTCAACAAAAACAGGGTTCTATTTAGAGCAATGTTGGAACCAGGGCTTTATTGAGAGATTTAAATTCAATGAACTCACCATTGCATTGTGTTTCAAAATTCTTCCTCTGCTGCTGTATGACTTGAGTGCTGAGGAAATGACCAAAAAAAAAAAAAAAAGAATAAGAATAAAAAGAAAATAAGATTGTGTGTGTAATAGTCAAAAAAGTAAGGCACCAAAAGAACTATTGAAAATTTTGACATCTGTTTATCTGTTTATAGCTATGGCAAGATTACTCATATTAATTCTTGTTTAAAATGCCATATGAAGGAAAGACATTTGTGCAAACAAGAGTCATATTTGAATTGTAGATCATGTCTTCACCATCTGTGAGAGCTGATGGTGTTGCAAAATTAATGTGTTAATGAAATCACAATAATTTCTCCAAAGTAATGGGTTCTGAAGCCGAGAATGACTATTTTTTGAACTTTGATGTCTAGTGATTTTCAATTGGGAAAAGCTCTCAGCCTTTAATTAGTTCTGCAGCCCAACTTTAAAATAAATTTGGTGATGTCTTTCTTTTGCCAGGAGTAGATTTGAAGGGGGGAAAAGCCATAAAAACTTTTGGAAAACGTTCTCTGGTGTTTGAAAAGTTGTTAAATAAGACTGCCTGCCAAGAAATGTCACCAAAAATTCTGACTACTGAGAGAGAGTGGGCAAACAGCTCAAAAAATAATTCTAGCTTGCTGCAACATCACAGGTTGGGAATAGCTAAACCTCACACAGACTTCATGACTAATTCCAAGTTTCCCCTTGGAAGCCAGGCATAATGATGTTCAGTGCTATGTTATTGGTTAACACAGCACACCCCTTCCAACTGCATTATTGAACAGTCAATAGTGTAAAGGGACTTCGCATGAGAATTTTAAGGGTCTACATTTCAAAGCCCACTGAAATTTCTGGAGAATCCTTCCAGCCAAAACTATTTAGATGTGCATGTCCAATGAGCCTCTTGACCAGTGAAAATATGTGGGCAGGTATATGTACCCCTTTTTGTCAGATCCACCTTTAAGTCATGCTTAAAGGGGATAACACAGTTTTTTTTCTTTTTTTTTAAATAGAAGATGTTAATAATTGCTGCTCTGAAGAGCTAATATTTATAAAGCAATTATAGCTTCCAAAGAGAAATCATCTTACAAACATTTAAGAATTCTACCTTTCAGAAGAAAACACTTCTGCCGATTTGAAAAATAGTGATAAAATTTGAAAGAACCTTTATGTGAAACATGAAACGTTATCTACCAAAGGGAATTGCTTATCTTACTTTTTTCTTCTTTATTACTGTGTTGTAGGTATGTGACTGGTGTAAGCACATAAGACACACAAAAGAATACCTGGATTTTGGGGACGGGGAACGAAGGCTTCAGTTCTGCAGTGCAAAATGTCTCAATCAGTACAAAATGGACATTTTTTACAAAGAGACACAGGCCAATCTTCCAGCTGGGCTGTGCAGCACATTACACCCTCCCATGGAAAATAAAGCAGAAGGCACCGGGGTGCAGCTGCTCACTCCAGACTCTTGGAATATCCCTCTAACAGATGCTCGCAGGAAGGCACCCTCCCCGGTGGCTGCAGCTGGCCAAAGCCAGGGCCCTGGCCCATCGGCGTCCACCACCGTCTCTCCATCTGACACTGCCAACTGCTCTGTCACTAAAATCCCTACGCCAGTGCCCAAGTCCATGCCCATCAGCGAGACTCCAAACATCCCTCCTGTCTCCGTCCAGCCACCTGCTAGCATTGGGCCTCCCTTGGGCGTCCCGCCTCGCAGTCCTCCCATGGTGATGACCAACCGCGGCCCGGTACCGCTGCCCATCTTCATGGAACAACAGATCATGCAGCAGATCCGCCCGCCCTTCATTCGCGGACCGCCGCACCATGCCTCCAACCCCAACAGCCCTCTGTCCAACCCCATGCTCCCCGGCATCGGGCCCCCGCCAAGCGGCCCCAGGAACCTGGGCCCCACTTCCAGTCCCATGCACCGGCCCATGCTATCGCCCCACATCCACCCCCCGAGCACCCCGACCATGCCGGGGAATCCCCCGGGCCTGCTGCCCCCGCCACCCCCGGGCGCGCCCTTGCCGAGTCTCCCCTTCCCACCGGTGAGCATGATGCCAAATGGCCCGATGCCCGTGCCCCAGATGATGAATTTCGGGCTGCCATCGCTCGCCCCGCTCGTGCCGCCCCCTACCTTGCTCGTGCCATACCCCGTGATCGTGCCGCTGCCCGTGCCCATCCCCATCCCTATTCCCATCCCTCACGTCAATGATTCCAAGCCCCCCAACGGATTTTCCAGCAACGGGGAGAACTTCATTCCGAGCGCCCCCGGCGACCCCTCGGCGGCAGGAGGCAAGCCAAGCGGGCACTCCCTGTCCCCACGGGACTCCAAGCAGGGCTCATCCAAGTCCGCGGACTCGCCGCCCGGCTGCTCCGGCCAGGCCCTCAGCCTGGCGCCCGCGCCCGCGGAGCACGGCC